AGTCACACCTGCACAAAGCTGAAAGATTCTCTTCTAGATGTCTATATGCTTCTTAAAAATAATGAGAAAAACTCATCACAAATCCCCCACGCTGACTGTTCTTTGAGAGGTGCATGACTCCTGGAACAGCAACACCTGACAGGCACCTGACAGAGGAACACTACCCCAGAATCATGCCAGACAATGGACCGAGCAAGGAGTTCTCAAGGCACAGAAGACCCTCCCACACCTGTAATCTGAGTCCTACAAACCATGAAGACCCCAGCCCTGGTACAGCACTCCCAAGGTGAGTGAGCACTTACTATGACATCGTGCTGCCCCAGCACAGGCATTTCCCACAGAGACTGGTTGGTGAAGCGGTTGAAGTAGTACGGGCGGTTCTCCCGCTTGCTCCAGCACTTCTCCCAGCCAGCCTGCACCAGCTCATCTGAGAGGACACTGAGAGTCAGGAGAGGAGCATCCTGCACGACAGACCTGCCCTGCAGGTGCCCAGCACTGTCACAGCACACTCTGAAACACACATCATTCCCAGCCTCCCTTGGCAGCTCTGTTTCAGCCCCTTCCCCACTGGCAGAGCCCTGCAGAATGCCCGAAGGCAGAGCTGGTACCTGGCAGGTCCTGTACCAGGCGCATGGGTTTGGGGGAGCTGGGCTGGTTCTGGTTGGAGGTGCCAGGTGAGTGACTCATGAGAGACGCTTCCTCCGCAGGGCTTCTGTGATTCTCATTGGCCATTTCTCAGCAACCACACTGGAAAAAACAGAGGAATATCCAGTGTTACAGCAGGAAAGGTTTGCTTGGCACACTCAGGTGTAGCAATACAAGTTCATTCTGATAATAAAACAGGAATTGAACCTGTACATGCAAACTGCACCTCAGCCCTGAAAAACACTTGTTATCCTGGATACAACAAGCTATGAGGAATGCTCAGCATTAAATGGGGTTAGCCAGGGTGTTCTTCAGGCCAGCATTCAAAATATTCCTTTTTCAGCTAGATCTCTCCAAAGAGTGAAGCATCAGATTGTAAAAAATAACATAAGCTCCTCTGTGATTATGTGCCACCTTCTGCCACACCAATACCACTGGCCAGGTCTGATCTGTTACCCTCAGAGACAGTTTGAATCAACTCACACACACATAACTGCACATCATTTCAACAAAAGGCTTTCATTAAAAAAAAAAAATCTGCTATATAAAATAGCCCTGGAGGTTCACTAACAACTTCTGTGGTTCAGAAAACCACAGGCTGGGAGTCAGGAGCTCCTGAATTATTACCCTCTGCATGTCCCAGGCTGACACGTCCTAGTCCTAGTCCTAGTCCCACAAGCAAGGCCTCAGCCAGCTGTTTTGGCCCTTGCTGCTTTTTCATCTGCATAACAACAGTTATGCAAAAGAAGGTCTGTTGGAACAATAAAGCTCCTCTTAACCATAATTTAATGTTGCCAGCTGGAGAGAAACAGCCAGGCTTTTCCTCTCTTAGTCACCACTCTTCCCCTGGGGAAGTTTCTGAAACAGCGCCACAGATTGCTCTTCTCTGGCAGCCCAAAACGCATTGGCAATGAACTGGGGGGAAACAAGGCATTTTACATAATTCCCAGCTACCTCAGACACTTAACTCTATTCAGGCTTTGGAGACACCCCACAGCACACAGCAGCACAGTCAGGGCAGCAGCAGCACAATGCTGTGCATAGTGTGCTCCTCACCTGAGCAGCACACTACCTGGCAGCAGGAGCCACGTACAGGAGCTCTCCAATAAAAACTCTGGATTTTTCTGGGGCTAAGTCACTTGGATTTGAAGCCTTCGCTGCACTTCCTGTGCATAAAGGCCAGTGGCTATTGCAGCAGAACAGAATGGCAGGAGCAAACACTGATCAAGAGCGAGGGGCCAGTAGCTCAGCTGCTCACAGCACTGGCTGAGATCAGCACTGAGGAACTCAACTCCTTCAGCCCCTCGGAAGATGTTTCCATGTTTCCAGGCAGGGTACACAAGGGAAGGTGTGGGACACTGCAGACACCTGGAGTTTGGGTCTTTGCCCCCAGAGCAAGTAGGTAATGCCCCGTGCCTGCTGCAGAGCAAGCAGGACATAACTGGGGACCTTTAATGGCCTCAGCAGTGAGCGTTGCGCAATCTCACACTCCCTCCTGAACTCCAACCCCACCACGTCCTTACAGCCACTTCACAAAGGTGCCAAGGTGAGCTGGGCCAGTGGCAGCAGCTCAGGCTCGTGTCAGCCCGTGGGTACAGGGACCCCGGAGGCAGCAGGGCTGCGAGGTAGGAGCGCAGGGAACCTCCGAGGGATGTTTAGTCCCTCCTCCTCAAACTAAAGGTACAATTGCACATGCAGCTGCAGCTGCAGCCTGCAGGTTACACAGAGCACACCCTGGAGTGAATGGGGTGTACTGGGTGTACCAGAGCTCCCAAAGTCATGATTGTCAGGATTCACAGACAGCACTGGGCACAGAGCCCTGGCCAGCTTGGATGGCACATGCCAGCTCCAGTGACCTGCCAGTGTTTTTCACCACCCATCGCTCAAAAGAGCTGTCAAATAGGGTGACTGGCTCTGCCTCCTCCCATTTATGGATAAACTGGAATGGTGGAAGTAGCCAAGAAGCTTTATCACTTGATCAGTGTTAACAAGTATTAAATCCAAGTACCCTTAAGGTCTGGGAAAAGGAAACAGCCAAACTAACAGGAATCCTGGCAGAAGCCACTCTACTTTTATGTAACTACACTGGGACTTAGACAGTGACAGGGATCCAGAGGAAGCATTTTATGGTGATTACGGTATGTTTTTATACACCATGGCAATGCATACAGTGCTTCACAAACACGGTACAACGCTGTCCCTGCCCAGAGAGCTTACAACCTAGAGCAGCAGCACAACCAGAGACCACAGTGAGGGGTAAGGAGACACAGAGTAAAGAAGTACAGCAAACAGGACCGGTATTTGTTTCCATTTCACCGAGGTAGAATTTTGTACAAGACAACAGCAAATGCAGACAAAGGAGATCAGCGACAGCCCCCCGGGACAACCCCCGGTTCTCCCCCATCCCAGAACCACGGCTGCTCCAGGAGGCTGGGAGCCAGGCCATCGCCTTCCCCATCGGCACCTATCCCCATTCCGAGCGCAGGCCGGCGGGCCCGGAGCTGAGCAGCGCAGCGCTCCCGGAGCACCACGGGCACTGGGGACCGGGGCACCGGGTCTGCGCGGGGAAGCGGCCGGGAACCTCCTGGGGCTGCCCTGCCGGAGGCGAAGACGGCACGGAGCTCCTCGGCGCGGCGGGCCGGGGCCGGCGGGCGGCCACGGGCGCCCAGCGAGTGCGGAGAGGAGGCGGCGGCGGCGACAACTCTGCAGTCTGGCCGGGAGCGGTCCGGGGGCGCGGCCTAAGCGGGGCGGCGGCCGGCCGGGCGGGTACTTACGGTGGCGGGCTGCCTGGCGGGACGCGTGGCCGTCGCTCCGTGCTCGCCGCTGGCGCGCCGGGGCCGCATCCTCATAGCGGGGCGTCCCGCGCCTGGCCCGCGGGGGCGGCTGCGGAGACAGGAGCCCGTTACGGCGCCGCGGGGAGGGGCCGCGCGACGCGCAGGCGCGGCGGGGGCACAGCGGGAGCGCGGCGGCAGTAGCGGCCGCGCTCTAAGATGGCGGCCGCGGGCCTGC